GCTGGGTGTAACTCATTGCTCTTCGGGAGCGCTCTGCACCGAACGGTGTGTGATGGGGGGTGAGGCACGGAGGGAGGGGAAAGGAGATCCTTGGTGCCCCCAGCCAGGGTGCCTTGCGAGGCTGGACATCTCCGTATCCTCCCATGTGACGGCTATTTCCAATCATATATAATAAAGATAATTTTGGAATTGTGGTGAGTTTTCCAAGGAAGAATATCTTTGCAGCTTTAATGGCGCCACTACCTGACAGAAGAAAAGCTATCCCAAAGCACAGCTTTCTCTGAGGTGTGAGGGAGAAGGGCCAGGTTGTAGGAATATTATGGAAATTCCTTTAATGGCTACCTGTATTACAGGAAAGTTACGTCTCCACGACGGCAAGATTTAGTCCAGAGTTTGATATACCTTGCAGGCCAGCTTGAGAAATGGGACCACATTATTTGTTTATAATCCTGGCAAAACCATTCTTTCTTGTATGGCGTATTGTAAAAAAGCATCCATTCCCTCATATCCAATGCATTATTTATAATTATTCTCACTTCTCTGTAGAAATGTGAATATCTATATAAATAATTGATTGCAATTATTAATTGGGGAACATGCAGTATTTTTATACAACTCGTGTTATCTTGTGGTAGTTCTGAGTGCACCAGCAGCTCCGCATCTTGTACGCCGGGTTTCGGTCCCATTCTGTGTTGGCAGACGCTCTTTCCCCGTGCCCAGGAGGGGTCTCCTCCGGGTCGTCGGGGCCCCGCCAGCTCGCACGCCCCCAGAGGAGCGCTCCCATCCGGGGGGGCACGGCTGGGTTTCGTGCTGCTGTGAGCGCTCCCCACTGCGTGCTGGGCCCCCGGGGCCCGCTGGCCGGGGAGGGCTGGCAGCGGGGGACGGGCGCGCTCCCCCCCCCCCCCCGGGGGGGGGGCGGCGGTCTTGTGCAAAGGTGAATTTTGTCTGACAGGGACAGAACTTTTTTCTAGTCTAGAAAGATGTATAACGTACTGTCAGAGAACAAGCCTGATATGTGCTGCTGTAGAGCTGAGCACCTTTTAACCTCTTCAGACTGTAAATTCTGAGCAGCTGATATTTGAGTGTAATTCCTCTCAAACTGGCGTTATTATTTGATTGCAATGAATTACCTTTTTAAAAAAAATCATAAGTATAAATTCACTTGACTGATCCTGCAAATTATTTATGATGTAGTGTTTTGGTCTAGGATAACCTTTTAAAATAAATCAGTTTTTCAATAATAGTTCAATGTTTGCCCACCTAATGGTGTTCCCATTAAGATCTGCATTTGTCACCAACCTGCCTTTTCAGCTTGTGCAGGAGACAAGTTACCGCCCCTAAACCCACTATGCTTGTAGGGTAAAGTAAATGCATGTCTTTGGAGGAGAATAAATAAAAAGAGCAAGCTGAGTCAATAAGCGGGTTCAATTCATGCCTCTAGCAATGGCGGACAGCTCATTTTGTAGATGTGGGTGTTTTGTTTACATTTATAATGCAGCTTTATTTAATGCTGACAGATATAGCTTGTGGCAAATGATAGTCAGAATGTATGAGCAGTCATAATGCTTCTGTCTTCTTATAGTGTGCTGCTGAAAATAAGCAGTTCACCTCTGTTTTTATTGAGGAAAGGATATGAGACAGCTATAGCTTCGTGAGGCTATTTATTGAGTTGTTTTACTAGCTGTGAACATGCCGCTTTATAGCAGTTGTGAAAATGGACTTTGCTAGTGTGTGGGAAAGGAAATAACATTGCAGTATACAAGGGTAGTAAAAAAACCCTCTATAAATAATTTTTCAGACTGAAGAATATTCTCATTTAAACATCTAGAGAGTCTGGTGATTTTTGCCAGATGCCAGCTTTTCCTGGGATGGTGTTGGGTTACAAATGTTCTATCAAACGCTATTAATATTTTAATGTAAAAAAATAAAATTTGGATAAGCCCTTTCAAGCCAAGGTGTTCAAAAGCTTTGTAGGGAAAGTTTTGTGTTGTTGCAGAGTTCTGTATATTTACAAACCTATCAATATTTAATAGCACGGTGTGATCTTTAGATCCTCAGGTCTGGAAAGAAAAGAGTCTGCCTTGTTTGGCAAAGCTTGCAAAATGCAGGTGTAATTTGGGCTTGATGTGACTTTATGCTTTGTGTTGCTGCGCAGGCCATGCATGGCTTCTGCGTGATGAATGCTCACATGCGGGATGATGCAAGCGAGCTGTCTGTGTGCTCTATTTCTGCTGTGAGGAACTGAGGATATGGCTCAGAATTCAGGTGACTCTTTGCAAATAGGGTTTATCCCCAGGAATTTGAGGCCAGGCTTTGGTGAGGCAAGCTGCATTTCTGTTGCCAGGGCTCTCGCTCAGCGTCGCCCAGCGCTGCCTGGGGGAGCTGGGGAGGCTAGCCAGGGAATTTGCCTCTTTCCACCCCAGCTTTCCCCGGCACTGCTAGCCGATCTGCTGCAATGAGTAAGCTCCGGCACCAGCAGCTCGCGTGCAAGCCGGGGCCTCGGTTCACACCTTTCCTCTCTCAGCCCCGTTGTCCCAAGGCAGTGGGATCTCGTGGGAGTAACGCTGTTTGTGCATTTGCCAGATGAGCCACGACACCGTCTGCGTTTACCTGATGCTGTTGGTAACCGGCCATTTACTGCTGCTACATGTTACTTAGCTTGTGGTATTTTGAATCTTAAATATGTAAAATGCGGTATTAAGATGTAGGCAGGTTTTGAGGAGTTCACTGCCTTTTCTATTTTTATTCACGTGTTCAGCAGCAGCACTGAGGGGCACAAATCATTTTCATGTATGCAAAAATAATTTCGAAAATGGTATTAGTCTCAGCAGGTGAGGCCTTTTGTTTCTTCCATGTTTATGTACAAATTCCTAGGGAACACTAAATATTAAATTGAAATAACCCTCCCTTATTATTACACAGCTATGGATTCAATTTAATTCTCTTCAGATAAGGTTTTTCTGGACACATATTTGCAATTGCCTGTCCTGTAAATACAGTTCAGACTACAGCCAGTGGCTCCTTCCTACGTGCCTTTTCTGCGGGAAAGGCACTGTATTTATGTGCTTTTGGATTTTTTGGACGTAGGCACTTTCCTTCTCATTCTCATTATGTTTATGGATTACAGGAGTGCTGTAAGATGTCCCCCTTCCCCCCTTAACTGGACAGAGAAATGGGTTAATCTCTCCACAGAGCTATTCCTCTACTTCACCACCTGTTTCCAAATCCCAGTTGCCAAAGGAAGAAAAATACGGAGCCCAGCCTGAGCCTGAAGACTGTGGGGATGGCGAAGCCCCGGCACCTATTGCACACAGGGACTAAGGCTAAAAATGCAGGGTGAAAATGGGAAAGAATTTGCTATGTGTGTTTTGCTGTGGCTGGCAAACAACTCTTTAAATTGCATCACTACTGTTCATGTTTTATAGCCACCTGGGCTTCAGACATTTGGTGCTAGTGTATAATGCCTTCTCATGGAGAGCACAAGGACTTTTAAAACCTTTGCTCGCCTCCTCTGACAAGATACCCTGGAGATTCAGAGGTGAGACTATAATCAGCCAAAATTTTACATTTTACTCTTTACACTAAGGAATTAGTCTCATTTTTATGAAAATAAATATATGGTCTAGCTCTCCTAATAAGACTGTCTCCACTGTGTTTAAGTAATAATCATTTATTGTTTAAATACAGTAGAGGCTGTAACAAAATGCTGTCAAGAGCCATCACACTCATTAACCTGCCAGCTAATTAGCCTCCTCCTGCCTGATTGCTGACAAGTTCTTCAATCTGAACCTATCGCTGTTGTGTCAGCGCTGAAGCACCAAGCGAAGTGGAGGAGGGCTCCATTAGATGTTTGCGAACAAAGTCTGTGCATTAAAGGTTTGTTTTCTGCACTCCAACAAATGTTACAGCATTAATATTCTCAGCTATAATTAAATTGGCAACTCTTAATTATGGTAATTAGTGCATTAACCATTTCTTTCCCGGCATCACTCCCAGGCGAGGCTCAGGAATTCAAGACGAAAGCCAAGGCGATGCCCGTTGCCCTGTGGAGCTGACGTGCCTGGGGGGGTCAGAGCCTCCCCTTCCCGAGGCAGCCAGCGCCCGCAGAGCAGAACACAGGGGAGAGGAGGAAGAAAAGCCAGGGTGTGTTCGCACCAAAGACCTTATACTTAGTGTTACAGAAACACCTATGGAAATATAATGAATGCAAATGTCCCCACCTAAGTCGACCAAGGTGTAAGACAGTGCTTTGGCTGGCTGTCGTAGGAGCAGAGCAGAGCAGAGCAGATGATTGCCCTTTCTGCAGTCTCCCAGACTCTAATTGGTCACCCAAATTTTCTGTCCCAGAGAATTCAGGAAATGAGTTTTTTTCAGTATCAGTTGGTTGCCTTTGAACTAATGTTGACATGACAAAACCAACCTGTGAATTGCCATAATTTGCATTAGTGCCCCAGTATTTGGAGTGCCTTAGCAGCAGATTGACAGCGGGATGCATGTCCCCGGTGGCATGGAGAGTCACTTGAAGGACCTGACGGATGGAGGCAGTAGTTCAGAAGATCTCCAGTCCGTCTCTATTGCCTTGTGGCACTGTGTTCAGAGGGGAAACAGCTTGCTTTTGGTACAGAGGCTGAGGTCTGGCTGCACTGGTGCCTTGAGGTTGATTGGAAATAGGTGCCAATATATTTTCGAGGCCTTAGTTCCTAGTGCTTTTTAGCCAAGACTCCTAAGGGCTTTGTAGAGTGACCTAAGTGCCCAGAGTCTTACTCGCCTTCTGAAGAAACTGAGGCATGGGGAGAAGTGGTTTATCTAAAATCACGCTGCAATTTTGGCATAGGATTGGGGCAGAGACCTGGGTGCCTGGTCTCAGTGCACAGCCCAGTTCACCGCCCCAGCTCCTGCTGTAACACGCCTCTCCTTTGTCTGGTATCCAGATACAGTTGGGATTTTACCTGACGTGAGCCTGGTTAGTCCCTGTTCTGCTTACACCGGCCATGGCGGGAATGTTTTGGAAATCAAAGCAAGGTCAGTGCTAAATGCTAAACAGCCAGTGAGTAAAGGGCTGGTACTCATCTGAGCTAAATTGGAGACATAAAGATCAAATAAATGTAAGACCAGCTCCCATCACTGAAAGTAAATTATCCCAGTGAGGCCAGGCGGGAGAGTCTGATGAACCTCAGTGCACCTGCAAATGATGCTGCACGTTTCTTTGCATGCAGACGCGCCAGGCCAAAGCAAACATCTCTGCTTGAGTCGTGCAGAAGAGAATCTTTCCAATCAGCCCTGAAACCTGTCTCCAAGTTTATCCCCTTATTTCAGGGAGAAGGGAAGTTCTGCCCTGATGTCTCTGGTGTAAGACAGCAGCTTTTCAGGGGTAGCAATTCTTGCTACTTTCAAAGGGGGAAAATTGTTACCTTGATATTAGCTTCCCCCTCCCGCAGTGCATAATAATTCTGTATGTATATAGTAAAAAGGGAGATAACCCAAGGCAAATTTAATTTCAGATTGGTTTTTTGCTTAATGCATTATTCATAGTATTATTTATATCATCACTTAGACATATCCCTGGCAATAAACTGAAAACTTAACTTTAACAATAACGGTCACCTCTATTTTGGGGGCAATGGTGGGCTGGAAGCCTTTGGCTCCACTTCATCACATTGCAAGGGTTTTAATAAGGGATGCAGTGTGGGGGAGGGTATTTAATGAGGGGCTTGGAGGGGGTTGTTTGGCAGCTTTTTTTTTCCCCCCAACATTTTTGCTGCATGACCTGGTTTTGCATTTTTCTGCATCTCTGTTCATCTAATTAGGATGTTCTAAAAAGACCTGGACCACTTATTGTACAGAACTGTAGCCTGTGGGTATTTAATAAGGAGCTTTCAGTGGTACATTTGCATCTTTAGCTTGGGGTCTGAATAGCGAATTACCTTAAAGATCATTAGAAGTGCTGCTGTATTGTTAAAATCAGGCCATGATATTCTAATGACAGTTTAAAACTTGAGGCATTCCCTATAACACAGTTCACCCCAGCATAATTGTGCGTTGCACGGGTGACCCTGGTATAAACTGCTGATATTCCCAGCTTCTTCCACCGCGCGTTGCTGCAGGCAGGTAGGTTTCCACCCAAACACCCAGCCACCTAAGGAGTGCGGCAGCGACAGCAATAACAATGAGCCTTTTGCTTGTTGTGTGCGCTCAAGTGTGCGGCTATTACACAGCACCGAAGCCTTACAGGGAAGAGAAACGCAATTTGGAGCCAATGAGCAGAGGGCTGCTGATGCATGCCTCACCACCCAGCGCCGCTCCCAGGCCCCTCCTGGCTCGCTCCCGTGGCCGAGAGGACTCTGCAGCCCAGCTGCAGGTCGGAGCCACGCACAGCAACGGGCACCGTCGGCCTTGGGCGCTCCTTAGGTTTCCCCAGGATTTGCATTGCACTACAACAATGGGGTGCTCCCAGAGCCTCTTCCACTGAGGAGCCACACGGGCTTTGAGAACGAACAGGAGAATCCAGGGCTCAGGGACAGCCCTCGGGGGGCTGGGACCAGCGTGGCCAGCTCGGCCGAGGGGCTGAGCCCCTTGTGCATCCTTGGGCTTGGGTGCCTTGGCTATGCCTGGCTTCGCCCAGCTCCTCCTTCCAAAATGCAGCCCTCTCTCCATCAGCTCCTTTTGGTTAATGTTTCCACTCTCCATGACACATTTTGTGGAGCTGACAGGCTTTGTGGCCGCGCGGGTCTTACGGCATAATGTGGAGAGGTTTCCCGTGGAGGCTTTCACATCATACTTGCCAAACGAGTGAAAATGCCAATGGAGCGCTTCTCCGGCTCTTCATTACAACCTAGATAATTGTTGGTACTGGTGTCCATTAGCAGAGAAGCATGTGCACCGTTTGGCATTTCCCAACTTTCTGGTTATTGTTTCCTGGCCACAAAAGTGACCCCAAGCCCCGAGTCCAGGCTGGCTGTTCTGGGGCCTGTGTCCAGGGTCTGACAGGGCCCGTGTAAACGAGGGAGCCCCGTGTTGTCTTTCCTTCGGCTTTCCTCGGGCGCTGCCAGGTCAAACGTTGCAGGAACCAAAACCCTTTTTGTCCTGAGGGAGCTGCTTTAACTGGGGCGGAGAAGGGTGCTTGAGCCAAGCCTGAGCACTTTTTCTTGAATAAATAAATGCTGGTGGGGGAAGCCGGGCTTTGGTGAAGTCCCATGCTGAGGAATTCCACGGAGAAATGAGGTACCTTCAGGTGAATCCGGTGCTCGGGCAGGGGAATGTTTTTAGATGCTTTTTAAGGTTAAAACTGCCAGGAATAATCTGGTGATTTGGCGGAGGAGCTGTTTGTGCAGAGAAGAATTTCTCTGTAAAAAATTCAGTGTAACCAGCATTATTTTTTTCCTCTGGGATCCCAGACAATGAATGCACAGGCCTGTTCATTAATATCAGTTGTCTTCTGCAGGGAGTATCCAGATTTGTCGTGCCAGGTTTTAAATTTTTAATGTATTACCAGTTCTTACGCGGAGCAGGCCTTTTCTTTGTTCTTTTTTATACTAATACTGTTTTGTATTCAGCCTTGCTCTTGTCTGATACATCTCTTAGTATCCCCTATAAAAGCTCTCCCCTTATCAGCGCCTGTTAGGTTTGACAAAGTCTGTCTTTGTGAGTTTCTGCAAATGTACGCTTCTAATTTTCTTTTCAGAAGTGCTGGGTGGTGTTTTGTGCAGTAATTGCTACATGCAAATCCGCGGCTGGTTTGGCAGGGGCAGGGG